CTCTGAAAACCCTCTGGAGGGTCAGCGGCAGGTCAGTTCTGACTCGATAGTACATGACAACTTGGTGGGTTCAAGCCACAAACCACGAAGATAGTAGTGAAAAATTTAACTAGAACTCCATCAGATCTATGTTTAATCCCCCAGAAAAGAAGCAGGTTGTCACAATTCCTGCAACTGAGACGAGGGTATATTTAGGGAAAGGTGCAAAACTTGCCCAGGAAGAAGGAAATGATGAAGGGAAGTCAATAGAGAAGGGGTTAAGATAAAAAGAAGAGTCATAGTAAATGAAAGTTTGGGGCCATCAAAGAAGTACAAATGTTGTTTGTGTTGCTGTGTACTGTGGAATTGGAATCCAACCATAGCTGACCCTCTAGCGGGTTTTCAGGAGCAGTTTATCGCATGAGCAGAGATGACCCAAGCTTCTCCCATGGGGCAGCTGGTGGCCCTGAACAGCATGCCTTCAGTATTGCAGCACAGCTTCTTGCCACTAAGCCACAACCTTGTATATTTACTTGGGTGAAAAGACTGTTGACTATGGAGCCAAGCAAACTAAAGCTGTGTACAATCTCAATCTCTTTTTTTTTTACAGTATTATAAATTAGAATTATTGTTCCTATTCTTCTGTGCTAAGCATATAAGGTCACAGGGCAGAACTGGTTTACCAAGACCTCAAAGTGAAACAAAACCACTCTTTCACTGTTACCTCAATTCTAACTCTAATACAGAACAGAACATCCCTATAGAGTTTCCAAGACAGCAATCTTTACAGGCTCAAACTCCTTTTTGGAGAATCTCTGCAAAATCACCTGTTATGCATCAGAGAGTTGGACAATGACTGCATTGTCAGCTTCTGTCTGCCCTGCAAATTTTAGATTTGCCCAGTGAAATCCCACAACTAACAAATCATAATTTATCTATAATAAATATATATCTATTACATACATTTTTGTTATTATTATGTGCCGTCAAGTTTCCTGCGACTCATAGTGATCCTGTGTACAGCAGCTCTGAACCTTGCCCTATCCTGAGCCAATCTCCCTGATTCCAATACACGAACCCCCATTGCCCCAGTTACAATGCCAATCCATCTCATCCAGGGCCTTCCTCTCCTCTGTTGTTCCTGCACCCTTCCGAGCATGATGTCCTTCTCTAAGGATAGTTCCCTCCTGGCCACATGCCCAAAATACATGAGATGGAGCTTCAAAATCCTAGCCACTAAGGAGAAACTTGGTTTTACCCTCTCCAAGACAGACTTATTCTGTTTTCCTGATGGTCCATGGTATGTTCAAGACTCTTCTCCAGCACCACAACTCAAAGGCATTATATACATATGTATACATTATATGCCTATGTACAGCATACATATTATAACAATATGTATTACTGCCTATTTATTATATCTATTATATGTAGGATTTCATTGGCAGACACAGAAGAATTTCATGAAACAACATATGAGCAAGAGCCTATGGTGATAAAAGAAGAAGTTCAGA